TCATTGTTTCACAGTTGAGCTGTACTGCTCTGTTGTAGTGAACTGTTGTTGGGCTGAAATTATACATGCATCCATAAATTCAACAATGATAGCAGATTTACTTTTTGAATAAAACAAACAGATCAACATGTATTTTACAAAGTATTCAATTTTCCTTATATGAAAAATAATTAGTTCATTAATCAAATTCATATCCTTCACAGCCCTCTTTGATCAGTGGAAACTGCAGATTAACAAGTGAAGCACAGAGTTGAAATATTATATCTGCATGACAACGTAAATATGAGGGAATAAAAGATAAAATCTTGAAATCTTTGAGCCTAGCATTTGCCCTCTCAACATGAATTCTGCATTTTGCTATAACTTTTGTTGCCCTTGCTTCACTCTCAGTGAATGTACCATTGTTTAAAAAAGGTGGTATATTTACTGAAACACCATTTGGTACAAGATCCTGTATAACAAAACCTTTGTCAGCTAAGACCATATCTCCAGCAGTAAGGTGATTTAAAAATCCTGATTTCTGCACAATTGCTTTGTCAGATATTGACCCTGGATAAAGTTTGCTGACATAAGTAATAACACCATTTGGCGCTACACCCACAATAACCTTGAAGGAATGCATTCCCCTATAATTTGAATACGTAGCATTCTGCTGGCTCATAAGCCCAGGTGTGGCAATCTCTATGTCTGTACAATCTATCACTACTCTACATGAACCAAACTGACTAAAAGATGATGGGGCACACAGCTTGTTCTTATCCCTAGATGGGATGGATGCCATGAGGTCAATAAATAGAATTGAGTGTAAGACATGAATGAAAGTTGTTACAATATTTGCTATTGTAGATACACTGCAATTGAATAACTGTGCAAGGTGAAGATTTGTGTAATTCTGTCTGACTTTCATTAATGTTATAAATATTTGTTCTTCAAAACTGATTGATTGCACTCTCCAGCCAGCAAAGTAATTGATGGATTGTTTAAACCTAGCTGCATAGTTGACAACAATTTGAAAAACTTCCTTTGTTGGCAGCCCAGTTTCCATCTTCAAAACCTCCTCACTCATTTTCGAAACTGTGTAATGTTTTTGCACATAGTAATTTTTTTCTCTTTGATCAATCATTTCCCTTTTTGCCTGCTCCAACTCTGCTTCCAGTATAACTTCTTTTCTTGTTGATTCAAGTCTCTCCACGCTGCCAGAGGTGCCTTGTTCAAGTTCTTCTTTCTTCCTTGCAGCTTCTATCATTTCTTGTAGGGTCTGTTGTGATTCGATTTTTTTCTTTTTTGGCTTTGCTTCTTCTGCTGGGAAAAGTTTGTCTTGGTTCCTCTTGAAAATCTCAGGACCATTACTTTTTTTTCCTTCTCTGAAATGGCAACTACAGACTCTGGAATGTTTTCCTGGCTCTCTGTCTTCTCTCCTATAGCAAAAAGGATAATTTCAGCTTTATAATTCTTTCTGATTACTGTGCTATTAGCGGAGGATTTTTATCTTGCAGCTTCTATCTTATAAAAATTTCTAATTAAGAAGACAGTTCTCTATCTGCCTGTTTTAACACTGCAGGGTGACCATTAAGTATCAACAACCACACCAAAAGCTCTCACAACTGATTTCCGTCATTGAGTCAAATGTTGGCTCGTGGCTTCTAGGGAACCGATTTTGAAGTTGGAGTACAAGAAAAAGGAGTCTAAAAATCAGTAAGATTTATATAAGCTTAATCAGTTTCATAACAAAGATGGCGACTCCACAACCGCAATAAATTGCGTAAGCATACTTTTCTCCTGGACAGAAAAAGTATTGAAATAAAACTCTTACTAACCTCAGTAGGTGAATCCATCTTCTATATTCCTTCAGCTTTTTTTCCTTGCTAGGGAATCCGAAGAAGCTACACGTGTGACTTTCCGAGTGATGGTTGCAATCAGGCGCAAAGCAGTGCACCATTTTAATCGTTTCGATCGCCTTCGTTTCTCAGTTTTAAATTTCTATGACCTACAGCGTTAATAACAATGTAACTGAACCTTATTCTAAGCTTCTTTGAACCGTTCCAAGCGATGATTACACACTTGACCTCAGCAACGCATAGGTTATCAGTAGGACGCGCTCGATTGTTTAGAACAGAAATTTTAGCCCCATGGCAACGTGACGTCACACTTTAGGACTCTATAGGTCTGATTTTAGTCACTCATTTCGTTCAATAACTATATCTAACGGGTGCAGTTTACATGCAGATATTCCCATAGAACCAAGTCATACGAAGTCAACCTGCCGAACTTCACTTAGCCAGTATGATTCAAAGCTCTCGAATAAAACTGAGGTCCATATGAGACTAGTTAGGCTCACTCTGCACTACGCGCCTCGTTGGCTGTGAAAGCATGTCATATCCAACACATGCTCTCGCGGTGATCGTCAGGAGAAGTAAAACAGGACCAACAAAGCTAAGAATAACAGTTAAGATTACCTTTGCTCATCCATACCTCCTCCCTGTTGTTACCATTGTTGTTATTTTGGATCGGGCTCTTTGTAATTGTTCAAGCAAAGATTTAATTTGATGTTCTCGTTTCTCTTTGAAGGAATATGCATCCACTTCTAAAGAAATCATTACTGCGTTTTGGATTCCTCCACGCGTACGCCATTCTAATTGCTTGGATTTTCACCATGATTGAAAAAAGAGATGAACCTGCTTTCAAAAGAAAGGAGGAGTCGCTGAGTAAACTCAGGAATGATATGAATAAGAAATATAACATAACCGATGACGACTTTAATAGTTTTGTAAATCGTGCAGCGGCGGCTGTGATTGAGGGTGATGAACTGGACTGGACTTTGCTTAACAGTCTCACATTCACCTTGACCACTTTCACCACAATAGGTAAGAGAAAAGGGTCAGCGCATGCCGTGTACAATGTTAATTAAAGCTTGTCTATTTGGGCAATGAGTATATCCACTTCTTTTTTATTTTAAGTTCTAACAGTTAAGGGGACCTTATCTGTTTGTATTTTCGTTTGTTTTTGTTTTTGTTTTTTTTGTTTTTGGTTTTTGCCCCTGAGTGTTTGGTGATTTGCTTCTAACCTCTGTACAAATCTTAAATGTAAAGTAATGTAGAGTGGAGCAAAAATTATTCATTTTTTTTATTTCAGGATATGGTATCATAACACCTAAAACAGAGCTTGGCAAAGGTATCACAATTCCTGTGTGCCTCCTTGGTATTCTCATCACCATGTTGGCCTTTAAAACTTCAGGAGAGCTTTTTGCTTCTTCTATTCGCCATCTCGTCATAAAGATAGAAAATAATCTATTTAAAAGGGAGGAGGTAAAGAATTTAAAGATCAAAAAACTCGTGGCATCATGCACCCTCATGTTTGCTTTGTATATCTTTACAAGTTTCACAGGCGCCTTCATGGAAAAGTGGAATTATGTGGAGAGCTTCTATGCGTGGTTTGCCACTTTCACCACAATTGGATTCGGCGACTACGTCCATTGTGAAGCGCTTTTAAGGGGCATGGGACGAGGGATAGACAATACAGTTCATCTTGTGATATACATCTGCGTACTGTACCTTCCAACCATGATTGGCCTGAGTTGTATGTCATGTATTCTGGGTTGCATTGTGGATTCCATGGATCAGATTCGCCACTTTCGTGATGGCTGTATAGATAGCTGCGTACACTTACACTCAAGCATAAGACACAAGCTCTGCTGCAAGAAGGAAAATCAGGTTGAGTGCCAAAATCAAGTAATTTCTGCCTGAAATTAGTGGAATCGCCAAAAAAGTTTTTGAATTAATCTCGTACCCATGATATTAAATTTTAACCCCCTGACCTTCCAATAATTACTAATCTTACCACGATCATCCGCGCGAGTGGATTATTTTAGTCAATAGCAACGGCCATCATGTGATTTCTCGTTTTTCATGGCAATTGAATTGAACAACGAAATGCGCTTTCTCAGATAACAACCTAACTTATTACGCGCATTAAATAATTCTTAGGATGGGGGTCGGAGGTTGAATGTTCATATACATTGAATCAATTTTTTCCCTCCTCGTCACCCTAACGAGTAATTCAGAAGTTGGTGGCTGAATAATAGAAGGGATTATGGTTCTCTCAAATTTTCTGAAAATTGACTAAGAAAGAGAAATGAAGTAAACAAAGACGGAGACGGCAACGAGAACGTTTTTAACCAAAAGGTTCAATAAGTGGATCAATAACTCAGCCATCATCTGCAAAACAGCATCGTGAAGTCAACGAGCTATCCATGCATGGTCTGAGGACAGAAGCCCCGTCAACGAATCTTTCAGTATCCATTAGGAACTTAACGCCAGATGCGTTAAGCTGAAGTTGAAGTCTGGCGCAGCAAAAGAAGGTATACACATCCAGCCATCCTTAAAAAATACTTTTGGAAATGTTCAGTTTATTTGTTAATCGACGTTTCCCTCACCGTAGTAATTCTGACTGCTTAAGATTTAAAGGGATGAATATGCCTAACTCCTGAAAATTAGATCTATATTCTATGCTGAATTTGACCTTGCACTGTAAGTCAGAGATTTCGCTAGAGACGCATTCATAGATGACTAGGGAAGAGGTTAATGACTGGAGATGAAGTCATGGTCCAAACAAAGGGAGAGTAAACGATGATAATAGTGATAACAACGATAACAATGTTAATAACAGTCACTATGGAAACTACAATAGCAATAACAATATGGTTAAACGCCATCCGATCGGCCTAAGCCGATCCAAATTAGACTTTGCTCGTAGAGGATTATCAAATGGCTAAGAATTTATCTCTGATCGTGAATATATTGAAAATGCTCATGGCACGGATTTAAGTCCGTGAACGTTCCAGTTATTGACTATATGTAAGATCACTGGAATTGCTGTATAATAATAGCAACAATATTGAAAAATACCAATAAATAGCGATAATTTAACAGTATGTGACTTTAGGTACGGAATTCGAACCCGGGCCACAACGGTGGAAGGCGAACGTTCTCACCATCCCCGCCCTGAGTTATACGATATAGAATAATTAACTATATACAACAGCAATCTCTTTACTCTGTGATTGGTTCAGACTAATCACAGAGCAAAGATAAGCAACACCAAAGCAAATTTGGATTATTTTAGTGATTACTTTACTTAAGTGCAATAAAATCTGGTATAAATAAAGAGATCACTCTAAACAAGGCGTACTGAAAAGGTCTCGAAAATCGTTTCTGAACGATAACAGTAATTATTTTCAAGTTTAAATGTATTCCGGGATTTTATTTAAAGTGAATGATGATCTTGCAATTGTGAAGGCAGATAAAATCAACTGAAATGCAGGCGTTACATGTTACTCTCAATCGCTAACATCATAATTATGTTCTTATTGAGGGTGGGGCTGGCTGGGAATATATTTCGCTTTCGGTCACGACCAACGAAAGGAGCGCAGCTTGAGCACAAGGCTGACAGGGCAGGAAAAAAACAGAAAAGGTTGAAGGGAAACGTTCTTTGTAGTGAATTTGAGAAGAAATGTAGCTACAAAGGTGAGTCGTATCGCTGTCGATGACATAGGGATCGGTCGCCTGACATTCTGTACAACCGGTTTGCCTAAAAAGGCATAAAATTAACAAACAAAGCAAAGCTAAGAAAAAAATCTTAATAAATTTTCCAGTCTTAGGTATTCATGGGAAAATCTCAAATAGAATAGACAAATGCTCGAAATGACCTCTTGGAAAAACCCAATGCCAAATTACATTGTTTCGTGGTCGCATTGATATCTGAAGTATGGTTACTTGTAAGAGTAACAGAGTAGAATTACACTTTTACACTGTTACGCTCTAACAGCCTCCTTATCTTCTTTCTTTATTTGCAAATTCAAATCTAGCCTTGTGCTATCCTTTATCTCTGCATCAAGGCAACGACGGAAAATGACAAATCTACAATAAAATATAGGAAGATTAAAAAAGATTAATTTTCCTAATGTAGTCGTCTTCGACAATAGTATGTTGCACTGAATATATAAAGTAATGTCTCCTCTCTTACTCTTTATCCAAAGCATCTAAAGGATTTACTACTCTGTTTCCCACAGTTCCATCTAAATGCCTTTGAATGCCACAAATAATTCCATTAGGGGTCTTTGTTGTATACATCTACCCTTACCTTTCGCAACCTCCTGGGTTGTTTTTTTCATTTGTTTTCTTGGCTAATTTCAAGTGATTTTATTTTGTTTATTGGTAAGCACCTTTACTTGATTATGGAATTTTCGACACAAGGAGTAAACTTAATAATATACTGTTTTTATCTCTACAATGTCATCCCTGAATTACACGCTAAGGTCATGAGAATAAAAGAAATGATCACCAAAGAAAGAAGTTTTTGATTGGTTATAAAGAGTTAATGAGGGCGAAAATTGTGTTACACATGGCATGATTCATTTTCTTCATGATTTCTTCCTTCAGATATATCACTTTGCGCAACATTATGACAGAAGACGCGTTTTACATGGAAAATCAAACTTGGACAGCAACTCCAGCAACGATCACGAAAATGGCGAATTTGATCCACAGAGTCCACAAGACAGGTCAAAATACATGACATGAGGCTGAGACCAACGACATATGGTACAGCAAAGGTTAGGCCTTTAAGCAATAAACTCGTTGTGGAGATATCTCCCTGAGCTAACTTTATGGAATACGATCTAAACAGCACGTAGTCTCCGAAACCAATCGTGGTGAATGTTGTAAACCACGCGTACAAGCCTTCCATGAAGGTCCAATGTTCGAGAAAAATTGTTGAAACGCTAGCCAGTGTTATCAAAACAATCAAAAGTAAGCATGCCACAAAAAATGTTTTCTTTTTCAAGTGTTTCAGTTCAGTCCTTCTGAGTGCAATGGTCTCTGTCTTGATTACAAGAAACGTAAAGAACGTTGCGCACAGCTCTCCCAATGTTTTAAATGCCAACATAGCGATAGGAATACCAAGCAGGCAGGTGATGATGGTTACTCCTTGCCCAAGGGATGTCTTAGGCGTGATATGTCCGTAACCTAACAGATGGAATAATAAATATCATGCCAACATTGAATAGACAAGGAATACCTTTAAAGAAAGGGTGAACCGCCTAATGTAGAAAAACCATGATTTTATACGACAGCCTTAAATGGTCTTCTCTACAACTTTTAAGAAATCAGGCTGAGTAGATTCTTAACCAAGTACTCTATGGCTAAAGAATGTGTGCAATTATATTGTGAAACTCCCAAAAAAGTTTGAAAGTAAATGTTCAACACCTTGACAGCCCTTGTTTATTTTGGAAATTTAGGGGAATATAATAATTAAAAAGAATGCATGATATGAGGTTGCCACAAAGACCGTTTCAGGATTAATTTGGTATACGTAATGATAGGAATTTGTTTTCTCTGTAATGAGTCCAAGGGTGAATTACCCTTATGGCAGCCTTTACCAAATATGAGAGGCTGACTAGTAAAGAGGTCAAGTTCGAATTCCAACTGTATAACTTACCTATTGTCGTAAGAGCTGCAAAAACGTAGGCACAACTGTTCAGGAAAGTCCAGTCAAGTTCCTCTCCAGCTGTCACCCCTGTGGATGCTTTTCTTACAAAACTCTCAAAGTCTATATCTGACATATTGACCTTATATTTAAGAGTAATTTCCGTTCTCAGTTCCTGAAAGATTCTTTTCATTTTGAGTTGTCTTGTCTCCTCTTGACTTTCAATTAGTGTGAAAATCCAGGCAACCAGCAAACCGTATCCGTAGAAGAGTACAACGCGTAACAGAGCTTTTCCGAGAAGAGGATGCATGTTTTCTGTCAAAATACCCTGAGAATAACAAGTTCAACGCGTTGTTATTACTACTACATCAAAACCATCAATTATGATATTTGAGATACTATCGTAAAATGCGCGAGTTCGGTATAGATCTGTTGTTTAAACTGATGTAGGACACCTAGCTTTCGATTTTATAACTGCACTTTTAAACTTTGTGCATATAACATTTAAAATATACATTCATAGATTTACAATTCTAATTTTCTTGTGAGCGAGTTTGACAACAACCTTCTTAAGTAATGGCATTAACATCATCAAGATGTGAAGTTCTATTAACAAATGATAAAGAGTCACATGGAAATTTTATAGTTGTTTTAAAACCTGCTTCCTTACGGTGCCTTCTTGTTTGAGAGAAAATATCTACTGTTTTTCAAACGGCAAAAAAGAAAATTTCTTGCGCTCTAAACTTACCGTAATTATGCCACATTGCCTAATTCATGGCTTATCATCCACTGAGTATCCTGCGGTCAGAGACACTGCAATACTTCCCTTGTCAAGAACATCAAAATATGCGACAAATTAATATATAAATTTGCATAACAGTAAGACTATTTTTACCCAGGTAGACAACGTTTTGAATAATAATTGTAAAGGTGACATATGAATTTTTGTCCACCTGCTAAAAGAAGTTTGTATGTCCACAATTACATTCTGTTTATCAATAGTATTGTGGTCCTAGTATTTCAATTTATGCGGACTGGTAGGTCGTTGTTATCTGCCAAACTCGATGTATTGTACTCCTAAAGAGGAGAATGCCGGTGATATTCTATTAAAAAAAAACAAAAACAAAAAAACTTTTATTGTTATTATTTTTTATGATCGTTTTTTCAATAGAACGTCTTTCGCATGAAAGCTGAAGAAAAGGCCAGAAATAACTTTTATATTGCAGTGCCACTTTTGTCACCGGACCCAGTTGAAAAAAATCAACCAATCACAATTCGGAAATCAACAGTCATTAAAAAAAAAGATTCCATTTGTGTTAGTCGTAGCTCACGATCAAACCAAGAAACAGTTTCTTAAATCGTATAAGTTAGTTATATTCGAGTAACTTTATTTTACTTTTTAAATACTTTTTTATACAATACTTACATCGTTGCCCTCTTTTAATTTTAAGTAACTCTTTCATCAATGATTAATTTGGCCCCCGACTGGCGTAGAGACAAAACACTCCGAGTGAATAGGAGCGATAATGTTGTAAACAAGCTGGCTCGAAAACAAACAAACTAGCTATAAAAAATTATTTAACCTCCAGGTTAACTTTCACAGATACTAAAGGATATTAACTTTCACCAGGTTTCTTTTTACTAAGAAAAGTAGTAGTCACAAGTCAATCAGCCAGTTTGCAGTTTCATCGAACTTGCAAACTGGCTGATTGCGGTGAAATTTCAGCTGCTTTCCAATGAAATTTCAAGTTGATCGAAATAAATAATGATTTTAATAGAATTGATTCTGCTGTGAAACGAGTCGGAAGATTTTTCGAGAGAACTTGTTTTAGTGCAGGTGGCGAACTCGCAAAGGTAGTAGGGGGTTACCTTCCTCTGGTAAAAACCCTTAGACATTCACCTGACACTGAGCTGACTTCGTGGCGCTCTGTTGTCGAAAAGTCTGTAAATATTAAATATGGGGAAGTGACCTGACTATTTCAACAGGAAGATTAATTATCTTAACTGCGTCCCTATATATATATAATAAATGTTTACAACCAAAGTATATAAAATGGTGCCTTTGGAAGTCTATTGTTTCAAGATCCGTTTTTATTAACCATCAGTAGCATACAGCGTTGTAAGACAATACAGATGTAACTCGATCTCAGTCTAG